AATATGCAGATGAAGAGAGAGGGATGGAGGGACTAAAAAAGAAAGGGAGGGCAGGAAAATAAAAAAAGAGAGGTAGAGAAAGAGCTCGTTAACGTTTAACATGTACCGTTTTATTTCAAGTTTGGCGCTAGGATCATGTCTGCTTGTGGACTGGTTCCCATCGCTCGCCTACATTACCAGCGCTGAAGTCAAAGAAATAAAGGGACTCGTACAAAGGATGATTGACTGGCACATGAAATTACTCGAAGAACACCGACAGACGTTGAACGAGTCCAGTCCGCGCGATTTTCTCGACCACCTGCTAATCAGCAGCAGACGGGCAAGCTGATGGTGTCCGACACAGATATCTGTTCGGTTTTAGACGACGTACAGGCCGCCGGGTTTGATACTACCACTGCTAACACCATCTGGCGCATTCAGCTGCTCGTGCAGAATCCAGACGTGCAGAAGAAGCTGCAGGCTGAGATCGACGAGGTTGTCGGCAGCGGCAGGGCGCCGACGACGAATGATCACCGCAACATGCCCTACTTGGAGGCTACGCTTTGGGAGATTCAGCGTGTAGCAATGATCATCCCGATGCCTGGTGTACGTGGCGCGTTGTGTGATACCACATTAGGAGGCTTTGATATACCAAAGGATACCGTTCTAATGGCCAACCACGCCAAGATAGCCATGAATCCCATTAATTTTCCACAGCCACAGAAGTTTGACCCGTCTAGGTACCGGTATCTGGATGAGAACATGAGATGAGTCGTCGTGGCACCGGATAAAAAGATGATGCTGTTTGGTAACGGCTTCCAAAAATGTCCCAGCATGCAACTCGCTCGCGACACGATGTTTACTGGCATGGCAAACCTGTTGCAGCGTTTCACATTCCAGCTACCAGAGGGCGTCACCGCTTTCCCTGTCGGCAGAACCGACGGTCTTGTGCAGCATCTACTGCCTTATAAGATCACAGCTATTCCACGGTAATAACAATTAAAGAAGTTAACAAAATAACGCATATTGGTGTTGATTGACTGGGTTAAACGACTCGGTTACCTTAGTACACTGCAATGATATTTCCCTTGTAATCATGTATAGATAATGGGTATAAATAAAATAAAATTATGCATTAAACATTAGTTAATTATCCGAAGTGGTACATGTCTATTTCGATTATTTTTTCTTGTCACTTGAAAGAAACTGATAAACTGAGTGATAGTTGTATATAATATATATATATATATATATTATATAGAGAGATAGAGAGAGATATATTGCATGTGAATTTTTCAAGAATTCATATCGATTAATGAAGCAATATGACAAATAATATGAATAATGGACAATGTGACAAATAATATAAATAATAGACAATGTGCCGAATGATAGGAATAATGGACAATGTGATAAATAAAATTAATAAAGGTCGAATATAAAGGAAATTACTTTTAACCATTTGCCACGTGTTTGGCAGCTGAAAATCGCTGCACTTCTATTGATATCGGATCGAGAGTATGTAATACAAGCTAGCCTGTACACCTATCATCAAACAAGTTCATTTTCCTTGTTCCTAGCCTTGTGTAGCTTTTAACTAAAGGCCAGTGCAAAATTCACTCCATCGCTAAATAAACTGCATGGCATGTTAGACATTCTTCTTTACTATTTTTAAACTGTCTGTGAATTATTTACAACTGCGTAGCGTTATTGACCCCTCAAGAGATTAAAAACGACTGTTAGTGACTCGCTTCTAAGTATTCACAGACAGTTTAAAAAAAGCAAATAAGAATGTTTAATATGCCATCCAGTTTATTTAGCGATGAAGTGAATTTTGCACTGGCCTTTAGTTAAAAGCTTAAGCGTGTCTACGTGTGGCGGTAGAAAGTATCAAGGACATTACTGTATCCCTAAATACATTCCTTCAATAGCAGATGCTGTTATGGGCAGTCAACAGTCAAAGCTTTGTCATTCAATCAAATTTTATATTACTTTTTTTAATGTCATGACTTTGTTGCCTATGTTGATATTCAGCTCATCAAGGTTTATACTTATATTCTACACTTGTAGGACAGCGGTTGAACCATGTTATCCGCTGTGAATGATGCAGCTAAGATGTGTCTATATACACACCACGTATGAAAATGTGGAGATTTCGGGGGGTGTGTAACTTACAGGAGTAGTAGACTAGATCAGGATGGATAGACCGAACTCACCGTATAGAGAGAAATAACACGATATATATAGACTAAAGGCAGGATAATATAGACAGCATGTAAATATTGACACCTGGGCGCGCCATCTTGGACAGGCTATCACTGCTGGTACTGCTGCCTGTCGGGCGAAAACAAGGAATATTTACTCAGAAACGGGTTGCATAAAATGAGGCAATAATCCATGCCAGCCACGGGTTGCGACATCAGGTGAGTCATCACGGTACGGCCAGGTACGGCTTGCACCCCAAGCGAAACAGCCGTAGGGGGGGGGAGTGTTGCCAGCTAAGTATATAAGGGAGACGGCACCGAGCAGAAGGAAGCAGTTAGGTACAGGTCTAGGAAGAAGAAGAAGAAGAAGGAGAAAGAGAGGAAGCAGCCGAGGACGAAGAGTAAGAGGAGAAGCAGTTATTTTCAGGTCAGGAAGAAGAAGAAGAAGAAGAAGAAGGAGAAGGAGAGGAACAGCCGAGGACGAAGAGAAAGAGGGAGAAGCATTTTTCAGGTCTAGGTAGGAAGAAGAAGAAGGCGAAGGAGAGGAGGAAGAAGAAGCGAGGGAGCGAGAAAGCGCAAGATGAGATAGGAAGAAGCACAGGATTTTAGGTAGGTGTAAACCGGAGCCGAACGGAGAGGGGGAATAAACGAGAGCAGCGAAAACAGCATTCTGGTTAGGTAGAGCTAGGAGCGCTGCGAGGGAGATACCTGGGAGACTGCTTAGGTCCACGCGAAGCGAGGACGAAGTGAGAGAAGAAGACGAAACCGGCGACGCGTAATATTAGACGAGATCGATAGAAGGCCTGCTGGCCGCTGCCTATACGAATGCAGGGGAATCATTTGTACACTAGTAACACGCAATAAAAGCTATATAACCGTACCGTTAACCGAATCTCACGGTGTTCTGTTTCGTTTTGGTGCTACCTGTTATCTGCTACGCGACATCACCGTCCCGCCTGTTACACCGGCGGGAGCGAACACTGAATCCACACTGGGGCACGCGTTACTAAAACAACGTCTGTCGAACCGGTAGTCGGCCGCCTCTAGGGCGCTACAAAAAGCGAGCAGTCTCATGCTTGTGCACCCACTGATAGACCCGGTATCTCTTATTGGACCTGAAAGAGCTACAATAGTCAAGTTCATAACGCGAGCACGTTGCTAACACTTATAACCGCCATATCGTTTAGAGCCTTGTAAACACTCTCCTTTGTGAGCAGACTGTTTACATGCGGGCCGCGTTTGCCCGATTTGTATTAAATACGCGCTCGTCAATATCGGCATGGAACATGGAATGTAGACGTGATGTTTTATACAGGCACTGCCAGTGCAGGTAACACTTTACGACCGTGCTTATGGATATATATATGGAAGAACCGACGGTCTCGTGCAGCATCCAGTCTCTTATAGATTCACAGCTATTCCACGATAAATGTCTCAGCAAACAGAATAACGCATACTGGATTGGTGCTGATTAACAGAGTGAAACGACTCAGCTTACTTTGCATATCTCATATCGAATTTTCCCTGTAATCATTCACCCGTAAAGGTTGGTTCTGCGAAGAAAAATGTATATTAAATAACAATAGAAATGTTTTCATAAAAATACTTGTGGGCATTTTCGTGACTTCTCCGTGTCTATGGATGCCTGCCTGCGCACGTATGCGTGTGTGGTGCGTGCGTGCGTGCGGGTGTGTCGTGCGTGCGTGTGTGTGTGCGTTGTGTGTGTGTGTGGTGTGTGTGTTGTGTGTGTGTGTGTGTGTGTCGTGTGTGGTGTGTGTGGTGTCGTGATGTGTGTCGTGTGTGTGTGTGTGTGTGTGTGTGTGTGTGTGGTGTGGTGTTGTTGTGTGTGTGTGTGTGTGTGCGCGCGCGCGCGCGTGTGCGTGTGGCGTGTGCGTGTGTCTGTGTGTCTATGAAAGAACTAGCGAGAGAGAATCATAGATATATTAATAGATAGAGGGGCCAGAAGAGAAAAAAGATTGAGAGAGAAGAAGAGAGAACCAGACAGTTAGTAAGAAAAAGAGAAAGGGGTAGAAATAGACTCTCGTACGTGACCTGAAGTTATAAAACAAATACGTATAACAATCGCCTATTTTGTTAACGAAATGTTGTTCATGTTATTTGCACGCGTGATGCGCCATTTTTCATATCCCTCCCTAAATATGCCGAAGCGGCCACATGACTTGGAGCGTTTCAATAAAATATAACGCTAATAAACACGAAATGTATTTAATACCAAGTCCTAATGTTTCTCTACTCTCTTTCGCCTATTATTGTCATAGCGCGTCCTGTAAATGCCTTTAACTGTTTTTCTGCAACACATAGGTACACCGCACGCACGCCGCTGTACATTTACACTTATATTATATACTTACTTATATATATATATCAAGAGCTAATAATATTAATATTATTAGCTCTTGATATAATATATATATTAATATAAATAAAAGTACATAATAGAGAGATCTATCATCATATAGAGATCTGCTCTATGATGTACTCTTGATATATATGTGCTTATACTCACACTCATACATATACTTGTACTTTTACTTATACTATACTTGTACTTATACATTTATACTACTTATACTTATACTTATACTTATACTTATATTATATTATACTTATAACTTATACTTATAACTAATAACTACTTAATCTCCTCAGTCTAAAACTCTG